AAATATCTAAATGTTTAAGTTCTTGTAAACATTATATTTGTTTAAGTAAGAATTCTGTTATTCTCTTCTTTAGCTGCTTTTAGTGAAACTGAATATAAAGTTTACGCAGAAATACAATTTACATGTTTATCAGCTTTAAATTCAGATTTAACTGAAGATATTATTAATAGGGTTAAAAGTTATTATTAGGATTAAACAGCAATAAATGTTTGGCTTATGGTATATCTATTAAAGGCTATCCTTTTTGTTGACAAACTATAAAATAAAATATATTTTAAATTTAAAATAATTAAAATGGGACCATGTTAATATAGTAAATCAATTGCTAAATAATCAAATTAAGCAAGTAACCAATAAGTCTTAATAATATTATTGATGAATCAGTTTAGGATTGCATTGAAAATTATTCAAAATAATATGATTAAATTAAGACATCTAAAATTATCAATCTTAAGATAATTAATTATCGGATATAGATCAATGAAGAAGATAATCATAAATTTATAGATGAATTTATTAATGAAGAAGTAATATTAAATAATACTGTTGATACTATCAATTTTATTAATACAAGATAAATAAATTCCCATGTAAATATTTTAGGGCGACAAAAAGTAAGTATGTTAATATCTTATATAACAATTTTTTTACTTTATTTCATGAATAATTAAATAATTTAAGTAATAATTATAAATGATGATAAGAAACAATCTAAGATATTGAAACATAATCCACTTAGTTATTAAGTACAAGTGTGATCCTTTTGAACTTAAAATTCCACTTTAGCTAAGTCTCTTATATTCTGTTTCCTATTTATAAACGCTACACTGAATTCTCTGTTATTTCTCATGCATTTTTCTCATTCTTTCCTGTAATTACCTCTCTAAATAGCCATCCAATAAAGATCAAAGGGATTTTTCTTCTAAAAAAAAGAATTTTTTGTTTTATACAGCAATACATAATAAGAAAAGATAGTAAAATTGTTGATTTAGGTCAAGTGTTTTTGGAAATAAGCCTAAAACAAAGATTATTATCCAATCCAATTTTAATGATTTCATTCAACATATTTCTAATGCTTATTCAATCTATCATTTTTGACCTAACAGTTATGATATTTTGCACAATAGTATGTATGATAGTGGCTAAAAATTGAGCAAATTATTTTTGATTAATTCAAGTTTATAAAAATTTGTGGATTGTTTATTGAGGAACTAAGGAGAAAGCGCTTGAAAAGTTTAAGCTGAATATATCACGTGGATGATTTAGATACAAGAAGATCAGTTATAAATCAATATGATATCAATGGTTTTATCATAAATATCGAGAGTATTACTCGGATGGAGATTTGCTGATATAGAATTTGAAGGAAATGAGTTGGAGAGGGCAAAGATGGTTTAAAGATTTGTAGTAATATGAATGCCATGGGGAAAAACTGTGAAAAAGATGAAGAATTAGATGAAACTGATGTAAGGTAAGATTTTATGATATTATTAAGAAAGTAAGAGGGTGGAGAGTAGAAAATATAATTATCCATGAAATTAAAATAATTTTTTTTGAACTTATCAGATTTACAATTTTAGAAACTGGATTCATATTATTAAATCAAAACTGATTTTTTTCATATATTTTCAGCAATTTGATTCTTTAATTATTTATTTAATTATTTAGATGATATCTATTAAAAAATTTACATTTTTTTATGAATCTAATTGAGGATCCAGAAGAAAGACTAGATTATGCATTTTTGAAATAAAATTTTCACATACAATAATTTATTTATAAATTTTTAAGTAAATTTCATTTAATTATATTGCATTTGTGAGTAAATAATTAAGATAAATATCTGATTAGAATTAAAATTTTTTTTAATTATTATTAAAATACTGAAATATGGGTTTGTTCTTTATAAACTAAAATTCTACCACTTTTCTCACCTTTTCTAACAATCATTTTACTCTTAGCTTTTTTTTAATTTCAATTTTCTATTGATATGATTTTAAACTACTTATTCTTTATTTTTTTATGACTATTAATAACCTTTAGTAAGATATCCAAATTTATCTTTCTATTAGATGAAAAAATGTCTCAACTCTTCGTATTGTGCTAATTAATAATGTTCGGTGAATATTGAAATTATCTAATTAAATCTAACCTTTAATTTTCATTAAAGTGCATTAATTCCTTCAATAGTAATCATTTTTACAAAAAAAGATTGGCGTCTTCAAATTCTTTTGGCAATCTTCGGATGACTCTGTTATAATAGTTTTGATCTTTCAGCTTACTCAATTAATCTTAGGTTTTGCTTACTCTAATACAGATTCATTGTTTTGAATTTTTTGGCTTTAATTTTATCTTATGAGTTAAAGGTTGTGGTTTCATCTGAATTATTAACGCTATATTGAAGGTTTTCATCTGATATAAATTAAACATTATCAACAATTAATCTTCTTTCTGATTTGACAAATATTTTTGCAATAGAATCTTACAATATTACAGTTAACTATAACAATATTATTGCTTCCTTCTTAATTATATGAGATATATAACCCATCTCTGTCTTCTTTGCTATAGATATTTGATTAAGTTAACTTTATTGGCTTTCTTTGTTTTCTATTTGCATTATGATCTTTCATATATTATCAATCTCTCTAAGTTATAAAATCGATTCATTAACTTCTTTTTCTTTAAACTATATATATTTGATTGTTTTCTTGAAAATTGCATTCTATACTAAATTCTTTTCTAGAGATTTCTTTAGAGCCAATATAATATTCTCTTGAAATTTCAATCTATCTCATTAATTTTTCTTATAAATTATTAGCAATATAAAATATAGGCTTAGTCAATCAAACAATATCAACTTGTGATAAGATTTATGCACAATTTATTTATAGTTTAGATTAGGATATAGAGATATAAACCTATCTTGATGGGAAAGAAAAATCTATTTACAATAAAGCTTGTAAACACTAAGAGGAGAAAATATTGCCCGAAAGAACTTTGATTACTAACTATGTATATTTGTTATTTATTAAAAATAAGTTAAGAGAAAAATAAAATGAAGTTCATTCCTTCAACTGGCTTCCAATTGAAGGCGCCAATGATGTAATGATGGAGAAATAAATTGTATAATTTCAATAAGAAGTGCAAGAATAAAACTGTAGAATATGAGAAAAAATAAAAAATAAAAATCTATTTAAGTGTTTACAAGATAAAAGACTTAGATAACATTTGGACGAATAAAAGAGTTATTTAAAGAGAGGAGTAGTTTCTATAAAAATTAAAGAGTCTTTTATTAATTAGCCTAAAGAAAGAAATGTAAAGTTACTTAGATTGAATATAAAATCTTTATCTCTTTAATCATACCTTTTAATCTGATCATAACATTGGAACACACAGTCTCGATCATATTATTTTTTTATTAAAAATCTACTCGTCTTTGTGAACACAAATTAAACTTAATTGAAAATAATTTAATAAATAGGATAACAATTGCGATTAGATTTATAAAATATGTTAGTGAAAAATGAAGTTGAATGAAACTAGCTGCTTAGAAGGAATATTAAATTAAACTCAGATTTGAATATTTATTAATGCTAGGATATGGTGGAGATATTATTATATTAAAAAAAGAGCAATTTTAAAAGTGATTTATAAAGAATATGAAGATTTGAGGATTGGAGAAGTTAAAAACCTAGATAATTGAAAGTTTGAATATTATTAGTTTTTAAAAAAAGAAAAACTTCCTCACAAAAATCCTTATTTCGATGACTCAAGCAAATGCTTCATTTGTAAGGATCTTAAAATATGCAAATAATATATATTAAGAAGGTGATATATGAAATTATAAGATATATAATCTACTTTATTTTATTTCTCATAAATCATATCCAAAAATGTCTCCTCTTTACGCTTCTTGTCCTTTTTTCTAAATCTCAAAGATATTTCTTATGAATTGTACTTGCTGTATTACCTTAATTGGCAATCTACCTACATAAAAGCAACAAAAATTTTTTTGTTTCTTGTTCATTTTTAATCTCTCTCGCTTCCTAGCTAACTGAATCAACTATTTGCTTGCCCTTTTATCTCTTTTACTTCATCTTACTAATTTTCTATTTATTCAACTTTAACAAATCCCATTAAAGTTTGTTGCTATTCGATTTTTTCTCACTTATTAAACTGTCAATAGTTATGTAGGCACACTTCATTTAGGAAGCATGAAAATTTTACTGTAGCCTATACCAAGATAAAAGAAAATGTACCTTGTTACATTCATTGATAGAAGTATTTATCAGTTTTTTAGAATTATTATATATTTAAGAAAACATGATAGAGAGAATAGAATTAGATTACTTGATTTATTTAATCATATGTTGAAAGCTTTATTAAATTTTGAAATAAATTAAGGGATGGTTCATTTTTTCAGGAATGGTTTTTAATATTTTATGGGTTTATATTTCAAAAGGGATTTAATAGATAGTAAAATATTAGAGTTTAGTTTATAATATGCTCCCTATCCTTTTAGATTTCCATAAAATATCAATAAAAAATAATATTTATAAATATCATTAATTCTTAATAACTCACAACATACCTTGTAATATTAAGAGTTTCATCTGTCTAAATAGCCTAGATATCTTGACTGCCATCTTGTGTTGATATGCTCTTGTTAGGTGATTTATCTAGTCTTGTTGATTCATCCCTACTGATTTTCTATGCTTCTTTTTTTCACTAATTATTTATATCTATCTCTTATTTTATTCATGCTGCTCTTATTCCTCTTGTAACTTTTGTTTATATAATTCTTAAAAATATATAATATGTTATTATAATTTGTTAATTGACGAAATTTCTTTCTCTTTGCTTATATATTTTGAAAGACTTAGTATTCAAGTCTAGAAAAGATAATAGCCAGGACAATAATGTGACATGTGTAGTATTCACATCATTTAGAATGACTTAGAGGAAGATATTTGAGGAATTTAGAGTGATATTTAAAGAAAAGAAAGCATTAAATTAATAAAGGTTTTAGTAGAAAAAGAGATTCCTTACTTGTATGCAGAAATCTATATTCTTTGGCTTCATGATTTCCATCCAGATCTTTTACTCTAAAATTAAATAATTAACAAACTCAACTACAACCTATATTCCTTACAAGGAAGGCTTTCCCATTTTTTATAAGAATACATTTTCCAAAAGAATTAAATTATTAAGGTTTGAGAAAGGAAATTTTAGGGTTTATCTTTGTAAATTTTTAAAAGATTCAGCACTATCATGCAGAAGCAATCCATAGCTTAAGGTTTGATAATGGCTTCAAGATTAATATGCTAGAACATTTGAATCGCATTTTAAGAAAGGAAATATATCTCAAGATTGTAAAAGTTATAAATTAATATATAAAAATGGGAATTTAAACAAACCTATTATCAGATCAAAAAAATACACAGAAGATAAAAATGATTAAATATTTATCAAAATAAAGATACAAAAAACCTGAAGCAGAAATAAGAAATGAATGAAAGTATAAATTTATTCAAACTCATCCAGAGAAACTAATTAAGATGATACCTTACATATTACAGGAGATTTAAAGAATATTAAACACAAAAAGAAACGTATGAAATAGTATGATACTAATGGGAATATTATTTAATGGCTGTTTCTTAGGATATCTAGCAAGCAAGAAAACCAATTTGTATTGATGTAAATTAAAACCTTCAAGATTTTACTTCTGGTTCTTGAAGTGATTATCAATTAGAATAAAGTTATTGATAATGTAAGTGAACTATTAAAAGAGAATATATCAGATAAAAAGTAATTTTAAGTTCGCAAAAAAAAACGAAAACAGGAAATTTTGTAAAGATTAAAAATAGCAAGGTGAATATATGTAATAATAATAATCTTACAATAGATCAGTGAGTGAGAAGGTAAAAACTATATATTCATCTTTCCTCTTTAAGGAACTTAGTAGGTAATTGCCACATACGAAGAAAATAAGGTTTTCTTTTAATTTTTTTTGATGAAGTTACTAATAAATCTTTTCATCATCTATAATTGAAATCATAAGACTCTTTTTTCAAAACCCCAACAGCTAGAAGAAATCCTTTCATAATACTATAAAAGTTTGCATTTTTATTGTAGTTAACAGATTCTATTAAGAATAAATGGCTAAAAGAGTTGACATGCATGTATTGTTGAAACATTTACAAAGAATTTCTATTTTGTTGAGACTCTTGAATATGTATCCGTCTTCCTATTAATAGAGGTGTTTAAGTAGACTTTATATATTTGATATTAGATTGAGTAAAAAAGCTAAATTGACTGATATTGTTTCAATGGCAGAATGCAAGCAATTTGGTAAGGAGAACTACTTATAATTAGGGAAATCCAAAAAACATAAAACAATATTAATTTCCCATAATCATTTGTAGGTATTTTGGACATTTATTTTTTAATTTGGATAAGAAGTACTCAAATTTAATAAAAAATTCCTAAATATAGAGATGCTGATATTATCAAGAGTTTATAATTTTTATCATCTTCATTACTTAAATTCTATATAGGATAACACTCATTTGATAAAGGATTTAAAGATAGATTTTCAGATGTTATTGTTTCCGCAAACAAAGTTATCTTTGTTGAGAATATTGATCTATTTATGATGTTTTTGATTTAAAGATAAATAAGACATTGAAAAAGGGTGCTCCATTTAATGATAGGATAGAATAAAAAGTAATTGTTTACGATGATTTATCATCACCTCCAAAATACACTTTGGAGTGGTTTGTTTAAATAGACATTAATTCTAAATAAATAAAAATGCTTGCGCGAGTGCCTTATAAGCAAGAAAAAATCTATTATTTTATGGGGATAGATCATTATGTAAGTTGGTAGGTATACCAGAAGGCTGTAACTTAATTTGCTACTGATAACTCTTAAAATATTTATTAAGGCAGTTATGTTTAATTCAAAGTAGAATATTAAAAAGATAGCATTTTGTTTATTTTTGATATTTCTAGAAATTAAAGACAATCTTATACAATAGTTTGATTAGAAGAAAGACCATACCTATTCATTCTCTGTCGCTAAAGATAAATGACATGTTCCACATAGATCATTGATCACTAGATAATTTCTAGGAAGTGAAATTGAAGATAATGTTGAATTTGGTTATGGTTTCAGTTGATGCATTAAGGGAGAAGGAAATTTTACATTTTAAATTTAATTACACAGCTTAAATTAGAGATAACAGATTAGCACTACAATATATTGTGTTAAGATTATTATTGAATAAAGATGAAGGAGATAGATTATCTACAGTTTGGTATGAATAAGCAGCAACATAGCTTATTACTAATGATTTACCAGAAAATTCAACCTTATTATCTATAATACTAGTTGAATAAAGGGAAGGAGTTTGAACATACTTACATTTAGATTATTCATTAAAGAATTATTGGCTGTTGGCATAATTGAAGTTTGATGGTATTGATAAAGTTCTCCATATTTTAATGAAATGTATTCATGTCAATAGCCCTTCTTAACATCTCATCTTCAACTTAAAATTAAGATTAAGATTATGGTTGACAAGAAAGTTAAAAAATAAACATGAATTGATATTATTGAGAATATATTTATTTTTGTTGAGAAGGAGGTTACTCAAAATCTTTTTTTATATCTCAACTAATTCTTTTTATTTATTGAATTATAAGATTCTGATGTGTATTCTTTTTCAAAATAAAATAATTTATTTCGAACTTTGTTACAAAATTCATTTAATAAAGCCTAATATGTATATATTAAAATGAAACAGCTAATTATCAAATAAATTGAATATCGCAAAGAATGGAATAGGTTAATCACATCTTAGTAATCCATTTAAAACATATTCATTTTAGATTGAATATCTATTCCTTTAATATTATCAATTTATTTATCCCCTTTGAAATAAGCTGATGCTTAAATAATTTTAATTTGATTGAATTTATAATCATCAGAAAAAAGATTAGAAATTCTATTGATAAACCCTCTTGTATAATTTAAAATTATTTTTCCTTTAATCATTAGATTTCAATACTCAACATCTTCATGATATTGAATAATATCCCTACTACATACTTAAACACCATCATTATACTTTCTCTATATTAAAAAATTTTATATCCACTTTAGAATAACTGAAATAGAGAAATGTCGAAACTATATCACGATAAAGAATAATTGTTCTTAATTTAGGATTATTAGTTTTTTTATAGTGATGTAATCTATACAATACCAACAACATCATAAAGTTAAGGATTCAAAGTTAATCTTTATATGAAATAATAAGGTTGAATTCTAATCCCTAAAATTTTATCCATCCCATATGATTAGTTTTTTTTTTGATTTTTCTTATAATAGCCTTGACAATATCAACTGATTCATCTGAGACAGTTTTTTAATTCCAATTTTCTTTTATATAGTAATAAGTTTTAAATAAGATCCAAATATTTTTAATTATGTTTCTATTAAAATAACAAATTTGATATATATATCATTAAATTGATAATATAAATTTAATTATTTTCTATTTGATCAATGATATTAATCCTTATTTATTCTAATCAGAGAACTAATACCAAAAGTGATTATTTATTTCTCCCTCTTTTTTTTTTCATTCTTAAATTTTTCTCCCTCTTTATTTAACTCTTATTCTTTTAACAATTTTTTTCTTCAATTTATTAGGTACTTTTAAGCAATCTTACCTTTTTCTCCTATAATTTCAGATTTATGTGAATTTATAAAAGATTATTCATAAATATTTTATGATATCTCAAATGAATAGACCGTTTGACTTTCCAAAAGAATTATCAAAACTTTCTAACTTTTTCTTGAAAAAGTTTATTTGGTCTTCCAGTTGTGAATCCAATTACTTTCTCATAATTTTCCATTTAGAAAGAACCTTCTTTTGTAACAAATCTAAAATATCCAATATTTCCATTATTTTAGTTAAACCATGTATGGTTCTCACTCTAATTAAGTTAAATACATTTATTATAGTTTTAATTTTAATATATTGATATTCAAAATAACTAATTACAAATATATTTGGAAAAAAATTTAATCGTTTAATATAAATTGTTATGTAGAAGTATATAACTGTGTTCATTGAAAAAATCAGTAGTTTTATTGTTAAGATATATTATTTGAACATAAATTATTATTTTGAGAGAGTTTTTAAAATTGGATTTAAATCCTTTGAATTTAATTAAAAATTCATAAATATTAAAATATATAAATTACTATGATATAATTAAAGTTATTAGTTAGGTTGAACAATATTAATTCATCTTCAATATTGTTTTAAACAATTAATTAAAGCACATATTTTTAAAAGCTTTCCATGCTATCAAATAAATACAATTCTTTAAACTTAAGAATAATTAATCAATCAAATTAAATAATAATTTCTTTCTTAAATTATAAAATTTATTAATCAAAAATTATAGTTATTTAATTGTGATAGTAATAGTCATTAATTAAGCAGAAAGACTGCTCTTTGATAGCTTAAGCAATTTCTAAAATTTAAGGATTTTGCCCTCAATATCATTATATTATTTGATGATAGATTATATTTTAATAAGTCAAAAAACTACGTTAGTGGTTTCATTGCCAATAATGTTTTTACTTCTACTTGATCTTCAAATTATTTTTCTTAGCAGACTCAATCTTATTTATGGTTGCCTAAGCTTCTTATAATTAAGTTATTGATTTAGGAATTAAAATTAGGAGATGTTTTATTAAAAGAATTTGAAAGGGCAAATGGTTTAAAAGAATTGTCTTGTTTGAAAAAAAGATTTTATCATCTAGAAATAGCAAGAAAAGAATGAACCTGACTCTGAAAATTATAAAAAGATAAAGTTAATTTTAAAATTTTAGACGTTAAAACAATTATTGAGTGATTACATTTATTTATGCTGTATCTTTATGAATAATTTAAGACATATTATTACATTATTTGGTGCGTTAATACTTCTCTATTCCATTTCTACAAATTATAAGCTTCATGGATTAAGATAAAACAAATCCATAATTTTCCATTTGATCAACTTTGAATACTAAACTTGAATTGCATTACTTAAAAAGGAAAAGAATCATATAAACTCACAAAGATAATTAAGTTAAATTGAGAAGAGATTGATAAATATATTATTATAATAACATATTATTAGGACACAGAAGTAAAATACAGGCTTAAAAAATAAACAACAAGAATAATTTTAAATAATATAATCAAAATTTGATATTATCTAAAGAAAATTCTACTAAATAATTCAACAAAAAATTGATCCATAATAATTCTTTATTGAAAAATCAAAGATTAAATGAGATCACCTGAAAATAATGTCTAAAAACTTTAACATTCAAAATAAATGATGAAATCTCTATACATTTTATGATCCAAAGAGGTAAACTTTATGGTGTGTATTTCTCTCCATATAATAATGTAAGGAAAACATAACTTAAAAAAATTATTACTTGTACATCCTAATTGATAAGTCTTCATTTTTAAGTCAAAAACAGTAAGAATGAAGTTAACTTAAATTGCAAATAGGATTTATTTGGATATCTAATAAATTGACTTTTGATGGTTTATAGAAATTTCTTAATTGATTTAAATTAGAATATATATATGCCTTGTGAAAGCCCAAAAGAATTTTGATATTTTTTTATACCACACCTTTAATTAAACAAATTATTCATGAATGTAGTTAGATCATATTTGTTTATCTATTGAAGTATTGTGTTCATTTTATTTTAAAATCTTTTTAAGCTTTTATGGCAATAAAATATACTATCTTATGTAATCACAAAATTTTCACATCCTCCTTTTATTTTTTAAAATTTTATTAAATAAATTAGATCAAATTTTTGTTTAAAGGTTTAATCGTTTATCTTCTCTGATCAAGCTAAGACTATTTAAAATTTAAAATATATTACTCATGTGAAATCAAATAATTTATTTTATAAATTGAGTTTTGGTTTTACTTAATATTTTTCCAACAGCTTCATTTTATCTTTTTGGGCTTTTGCTTCGTCTAAAATAATAAATCTGATCTTACTACATGAATTGTTCTTCAATTTAACAACATTGTATCTAAAGGTTGTATATTAACTCCCCACTTATTCTAGCTTTGTTTGTAAACTCATTAGGAAACCTAATGGAACTTCTTTTATAAATTATTAGAATTGAAAGAAATCTTACACTTAACCATAATTTCAAAAAATCTTTACCTAAATATATTAACTAAGTTTGATTAGGAGAGACAAAACTTAAGACACTGATCAACCGTTCTCAATCAGGAATATTATCAAAATGAAATCCTAATTTTAAATCTTACCCTATTATTTGAAATAATTCTCTGTAGAGATCAATTTTAAGTGGCTCATTTTCAAAAAAGCAACTTTAATTTCTGATTATTTAATAGTGAAAAGTTTCTATAGGATTACTCCCAGTAATATTCACTAGTGACATAGAAAGAATTAAGTTGAGGTAGATAATACCCTTTTTAAATCAAGCCTGTGCACTCAGATTTAAGGGACGCAATTATTCAGTTTACCTCATCAATTTTAATTCCTTAAACTTAAATATATAGAATTTTTATTAAGTTAGTTCGTTAAAATATTTTTGCATTTCGAATTATGAAATTATTATAATTGATATATCAAAAAATACATAAAATAAATTTAAAATATAATTACATTAAATTTATTTGTTATTTTTAGAAAATCCAACATTTACTTTAATTTGTTTATAACTTTTTTCAATACATATTATTATTTTTAAATACATTTACCTTACATTTTTTATGAATTTAAAAATACTTAAATGAATTTGGAATGTATTTAGATATTGATTATATTTACCTAATTTCCTAAGACTTAAACAAATCCTGGTTATTTTTTTGATATTTTTTTTAATCG